AGAAAATGGAAGACATACAAGACCACTGATAATCTCCCTCGATCTGGGGCTCCACGCAAGATCTCACCCCGTGGGGTCAAAATGATCACAAGAACGGTGAGCAAAAATCCCAGGACCACATGGGAGGACCTAGAGAATGACCTGCAGAGAGCTGGGACCAATGTAACAAAGGCTACCATCAGTAACACACTACACCGCCAGGGACTCAGATCCCGCAGTGCCAGACGTGTCCCCCTGCTTAAGCCAGAACATGTCCGGGCCCGTCTGAAGTTTGCTAGAGAGCATTTGGATGATCCAGAAGAGGATTGGGAGAATGTTATATGGTCAGATGAAACCAAAATAGAACTGTTTGGTAGCAACACAACTCGTCGTGTTTGGAGGAGAGAGAATGCTGAGTTGCATCCAAAAAACACCATACCTACTGTGAAGCATGGGGGTGGCAGCATCATGCTTTGGGGCTGTTTCTCCGCAAAGGGACCAGGACGACTGATCCATGTACAGGACAGAATGAATGGGGCCATGTATAGTGAGATTTTGAGTGCAAACCTCCTTCCATCAGCAAGGGCATTGAAGATGAAACGTGGCTGGGTCTTCCAACATGACAATGATCCCAAACATACCGCAACGAAGGAGTGGCATCGTAAGAAGCATTTCAAGGTCCTGGAGTGGCCTAGCAAGTCTCCAGATCTCAACCCCATAGAAAACCTTTGGAGGGAGTTGAAAGTTTGTGTTGCCCAGCGACAGCCCCAAAACATCACTGCTCTAGAGGAGATCTGCATGGAGGATGGGCCAACATACCAGCAACAGTGTGTGCCAACCTTGTGAAGACTTACAGGAAACGTTTGACCTCTGTCATTGCCAACAAAGGATATATAAGAAAGTATTGAGATGAACTTTTGATATTGACCAAATACTTATTTTCCACCATAATATTGACCAAATACTTATTTTCCACCATAATATTGACCAAATACTTATTTTCCACCATAATTTGCAAATAAATTCTTTCCAAATCAGCCAATGTGATTGTCTGGATTTTTTTTCTCATTTTGTCTCTCATAGTTGAGGTCTACCTATGATGCCAATTACAGGCCTCTCTCATCTTTTTAAGTGGGAGAACTTGCACAATTGGTGGCTGACTAAATACTTTTTTGGCCCACTGTACATATATACACACACACACACACACACACACACACACACACACATATATACACATACATATATACACACTCCTAGATTATAAGCTCCAAGATGCAGGGCCCTCCTATCCCTCTTGTATTGATTGAGCTGTATTGTCTCCCGTTATATTGTAAAGCGCTGAGCAAACTGTTGGTGCTATATTAATCCTGTATAATAATAATATATATATATATATATATATATATATATATATATATATATATATATATACATACATACACACACACGCACACACATATATATACATACATGCACACACACACACTCGTCCATTGAGTTCAGTAGAGCCCCGCAAACAGCGCAGCAACTGTGTGATTATGGTGCAGTTGTCAGGAATTTCAGGGTTAAATTGGGTGATCAGGAGGCCATATAATGCCTCCTCACCGCTTTTCAAATTCCCTCTGAAAGCAGTCCAAACATGCATCACTCTTCAGAGGGCACCACAAGTGTGAAAGAATGCTAACACTTGTACATGTCGGGGATGCACGCAATATGGTACGCTTTCCTGATATGCACAGAAACATGATGCCCTTTAGCAGACGTACAGAAGTGTCATTGATTCTCACCTGCTAACACATTTTCCCTGCGTCTCCCTGTGGCACGATTTGGCAAAAGTCTTAGAGGCTTTTGCATTTTTCTCCCATGTAGGGCAGCCCAGATAAACAGGCTTCCCTATATGCGATGAGCAGAAAAGCGCACAAGCGGAAAAAAAGTCAGAAGTTTGGCTTCTAAAAACCAACACCAGTGGTCAAGAAATAAAAAATGGCAACAAATATGCAGAAATGTCTTTACTCACTATTTCTAGAAGCAGCAAATCATGCAGATATGAGAGGAGAAGGTTCAAATGCAACAAGGCTGAAACTCCTAAAAAAAATAGCATAGGAAGAGTAAAGTTCAGCACAACTGTAAATCTTTATTCCGGTAAAAGCAACGTATCTGATGTGCCCGTCTGTCCCACACACTTTATCAGCATAGTCCCTACACAGCTGCTATATACTGATAATTGCACTAACCTTATGGTCGCTAGACTCAACAAGAATACAGGCATTGTTTCCAAGTTCCTTTTGATGCTATCAGGAAAAGTGCATTTAAAAAGGTCACTGAGAATTGTAAAGCAAACGGAAAACCCTCTTTCATAATGCCAACCCATCCGCTATTGTCACAGCCATACACACAGAGTCCAATCCTCAGCCCTGCTAGATGACATGTTTCACCTAAGATCAGGGGAGTCCAACCTTTTGACTTTCCTGGGCTACATTGGAAAAAGAGGACTGGTCTTGGGCCATACATAAAATGCGCAAACAATAAGGTCTCATGCGTTTTTACAACTGCGGTTTTGGGCATTAGCCTTTTTTTTTTCCCTACAGCCAGTAAACTCCCCAGCATGTTCATGTACACATAGGTTTTTATCAGCATTTTTTTGGCAGGAGCATTTTCTAGCTGGAAAAAAAAAACAGAACTACTGCGTTCAAAGAGGTTTTTCAGCTGTAAAAACTCTCTAAAGCGGCAAAATAGTGCAAAAAACGCAGCTATTCAGCATTTCTGAGCCTCAAGTATTTTTGGGAGTATGGTTTTGCTAAAAAATGCTAATACTAAAATGCTAAAAGAAATAAATTCACGTTTTTAACCACTTGCCCTCCAGAGGATTTAACCCCCTTCCTGATCAGGCCATGTTTTGCGATACAGCACTGTGTTACTTTGACAATTGCGCAGTCCCGCAACACTGCACCCAAATTAATTTTATGTCCGTTTTTCTCACAAATAGAGCTTTCTTTAGGTGGCATTTGATCACCTGTGCATTTATTATTTTTTGCGCTATAATAAAATAAAAAATGACTGACAAATTTGAGAAAAAATAAACAAATATTTTTTACTTTTTGGTATTAAACATGTCCAGTAAAAAAAATTTAAAAATCAAATTTCATCATAAAATTTAGGTCAAAATGTATTCTGCTACATGCATTTGCTAAAAAAAAAATCCCAATAAGTGTAAATTAATTGGTTTACGTGAAAGTTATAGCGTTTACAAATGGAGGTATACATACCGGGATTTTTTTCCTAGTAATGGCGGCGATTGGTGACTTATAGTGGGACTGCGGCGGACATTATGACACTGGGGGGAACTGACTTGGTGTCACTGACACCTATACAGTGATCAGTGCTAATAAAAATCACTGACACTGTACTAATGGCACTGGGCATGAAGGGGTTAACATCTGGGGCAATCAAAGGGTTAACGGTGTGCTGTATCACGATGGGTTCTGTGTGTGCTTCACTGTAAGCACACTGCATAGCAGATCTATACAAAGCAGCATGCAGGAGCTAACAGGGAAGAGATCTGTGTTGTTTATACACAGGTCTCTCCCCCATTGGAGATACTCAGGGATCACTGGATGCCGGCGAGTAATCACCAGCCGGGACCCAGTGAATGACAGCCGAGGTTGTGAATAGTGTGCGCTCCCTACCAGGAACTGCAAAATCACGTATATATGAGTGATTTTTCGCACACGTGCCACCTCGTAGCAGTATTTCTGCTATAGGGCAGCGCAGAACTGGTTAACACGGCAATCTACAGCGTTTTTATAATGTCCAGTATGCATGAGGCCCAAGGATAGCTCAGGAGCAGGAAAAGTCAGGCAGATCACAAGTTAACGATCACTGATACAGATAATGAAGTAATAAAACTTCATTTTTTTGTAATATTTTACATTCTAAAAGTAAAAAAAGAGGGCAACAGAAAACTAGTGCGATATTTGGCACTGTTTTGGTGAACTGGTTCAATGGACGTAGTAGCAATTCTCAAAGAATTCTCAAGGTGCTCATCAGATATTTGGGTTCTAATTTTGCCCTTCATGCATTTCATCTTTGAAAACAGTTGCTCACAAACATAGGTGATGTTGAAAACGGATGACATGAATAAGGAGGGATTGTGAAAAGTGAGAGATTTATCTTTGAGAAGTACAGTAAAGAGACACTGTCAATTTTTTCTTCGGGCGCATGTGTTTCCCAAGTGTAAATGCATATATACAATTTTTTTTTTTTTAAATCTACATTTTTAAGTTTATGACTTTGTGTTGGTCAGCATCCATAGCTGTCTTGGGCCACAGGTTGGACAACCCTGTCTTGGATGATAAATAGCTCCTCTATTGATGGTTACACACTGTGATGTCTGCAGGAAGGTCTCGGGAATCAGTTGTTGAAAATGGATTTTACGGACACCAGGAGCATCTGCTCAGTTCATAAACATGTATACTATACTGCCAAAAGTATTGGGACGCCTGCCTTTATACACACAAGACCTTCAATGGCATCCCAGTCTTAGTCTGTAGGGTTCAATATTGAGTTGGCCCATCCTTTGCAGCTATAACAGCTTCAACTCTTCTGGGAAGACTGTCCACAAAGTTTAGGAGTGTATCTATGGGAATGTTTGACCATTCTTCCAGAAGCGCATCTGTGAAGGCATTGATGTTGGACGAGAAGGCCTGGCTCACAGTCTCAACTCTAATTCATCCCAAAGGTGTTCTATCGGGTTGGAGGTCAGGACTCTGTGCAGGCCAGTCAAGTTCCTCCATCCCAAACTCACTCATCCATGTCTTTATGGACCTTGCTTTGTGAACTGGTGCACAGTCATGTTGGAACAGGAAGAGGCCGTCCCCAAACTGTTCCCACAAAGTTGGGAGCATGAAATTGTCCAAAATGTCTTGGTATGCTGACATCTTAAGAGTTCCCTTCACTGGAACTAAGGGGCCAAGCCCCACCCCTGAAAAACAACCCCACACCATAATCCTCCCTCCACCAAACTTTACATTTGGGGCAGTGCTGTCAGGCAAGTACTGTTTTCCTGGCAACCGCCAAACCCAGACACATCCATCGGATTGCCAGTCAAAGAAGCGTGATTAGTCACTCCAGAGAAAACGTTTCCACTGCTCCAGCTTTACACCACTGCATCCAGCGCTTTGCATTACACTTGGTGATGTAAGGCTTGAATGCTACTGCTCAGCCATGGAAACCCATTCCATGAAGCTCTCTACACACTGTTGTGCTAATCTGAAGGCCACATGAAGTTTGGAGGTCTTTAGCTATTGACTCTGCAGACAGTTGGCGACTTCTGCACACTGTGCGCTTCAGCATGCGCTGACCCCGCTCTGTCATTTTACATGGCCTACCACTTTGTGGCTGAGTTGCTGTTGTTCCCAGTTGCTTCCACTTTGTTATAATACCACTAACAGTTGACCGTGGAATATTTAATAGCAAGGAAATTATATTGGACTTATTGCACAGGTGGCAACCTATCACGGTTCCACGCTTGAATTCACTGAGCCTCTGAGAGCGACCCATTGTTTCATAAATGTCTGTAGAAGCATTGTGCATGCCCAAGTGCTTGATTTTATACACCTGTGGCCATGGAGGTGATTGGAACACCTGAATCCAATGATTTGGAGGGGTGCCCCAATACTTTTGGCAATATAGTGTATATTTGGCCAAAACAATCAGTATGTTTAGAGAAAAATATCCCATTAGAAAGTGATTCCAGCGATCATTTTTCTTGCTCCTACATCATGTCTATAGCATAGAAGAAGTCAACAGTGGCATATAGCTCATTCACATAGGCGACCGGGGGGAGGGGTGTGGTAAAAGTATGTGATGGAGCCACTTCAACTGCCCGCCACCTAAACAAGGACATGCAGATGCTCAGGGCGGTATACATGTTGCGGCTGCAGCAATCCAAGTTACAGATATAGAAAGCTGAATTTATATACACATCTAAAAACTTTTCCTAAGAAACAGTCATGTTTGGTAACACCTCTCCTGCTACCTCTAAAATAAAGGACCAAAGGGGAGGCTAGAGATACGTTTTTATAAACTGTGGGGAAAAGCTTGACTTTTACTTGTAGCCACCCTGTCTTAAACATTGGCTACTAGTTATATTTAGGTTTTGGCTGGGTGGGAGTCAGCCCAGATTGTATAGTTTCACTTGATCTTTCCCAAAGTTCTGTGTGGTTGTGATTTCTCACTGTTGCCAGTAGGTGTCACTGGGACCACTGGGAACAGTATGAGATTGAATTATGAATAGTCATATTTCCTTCCGCCAGCCTAGTAGGACGTTCAAGTCACTTGTGCATGCTGGGGGAGCATATACATATTTGGGACAGGCAATGCGATCTCTCTTCCCCTGGGATAAGTTACAGCTGAATAGAGCATTGCTACTATGCCCCTTAGCCTGTATGGGGTCTAACTTCTGCTGAACGTGGGTTTAGGCCTGTAGGGGTCCTGAAGCTGTATAGCCTGGTGAAGGAGGAAACTGTGCTAAGGAGGAGATCCAGCAAGAACCCTTTCTGGAGGAAACCCAGGGAGGACCCTTGCTGGAGAATGCCATTAAGAAGGCTGTTTTTTCAGAAGGGCCTGGTGACTTGCTTGGAGGACACACTAAGTTTGGAAACAGAGAGAGAAGTCTGTGAACCAGTTAGGATGCAACTTACAGTGTCACGGGGTCAACTTCAAGGTTCTGACACTGTGAAGCTGGACATAGAGGGGTTTATTTACTAAACCTGGTTGACTCAGATTCTTGGGCACCTGTGCATGGTAGCCAATCAGCTTCTAACCTCAGCATGTTCAGTTAAGCTTCAGCAATAAAACCTGGAAGCTGATTGGTTTTTATGCAGAAGTGGACAAGATTCTGAGTCAACCAGGTTTAGTAAATAAACCCCAGAGAGTCTGTAAGGTATCTGCTATGGTATCTGGGACCCTTACCCCCTACTCCTTGCCTGTTCCACAATAAATCTTTAAAAAGGCAGAAGTATCCGGCGCCAATGTTCTTTCAGTCCCCCATTTTGGCCATAGACTCAGAAAAAAAATTGCATACAAATTCCTAGGTCTTTGAATATACTTATTGGTAAAGCATTACATTTTCTCGGATGACCACCTATGCTTATTGTTCTTTATTTGGTGGGCATGCTATCCAACACACCCTAATGTAGCAGATAGTAGTTGACCTCATATCTTTGCTTAGAGGAGCAAAGATTTTCACACTCTACCTGCTGGGAAATCCTTGAAAATAATTTATTTTTAAACCAGAGTTTAGGGTCACCTTAATCCTTTGCCTTTACAAGTAAAATGTGGTTATTGGAGAGGTTCACCTTTGAAGAGAGGTGCACCACTGCATTTTATGTCTTAGTCCTCATGCACACTGGGCTTTTTACAGCTGCTGTTTTTGGCTTCGGGCGTTTTTTTCTACAGCCAGTAAACCCCCCAGCATGTTAGCCTATGTGTCCATGCGCACATAGGCTTTAATCAACGTTTTTTGGCAGGGGCGTTTTCTGGCTGGAAAAAAAAAATCTAGAACTAGTGGGTTTCAAGAGGACACGGTAAAACACAGCAAACTGATGTTTTTGAGCATTTTTCAGCTAAAATTGTTTGGAAAAAAAAAAATGAAAAACACGGAAAGCGCTAATGCAAAAAAGCAGAAAAACCTGCAACTTTATACAACTAGCTTTTTTAAAACGCCCACTGCACATGAGGCCCATATATATGGTTATATATAAACCATATATATATGGTTATATACATATATACACAGTATAGTTTAAAAAAAATTAATTTAGCCTCTTAGGAAAAAATAAATAAATAAAAAGTATAATTCAAAAGAATTTATCTTGCCCACCAAGCTTTGACGTTTTGTCCTAAATATAGACTAGCCTATGTATGGCTCCAATTAAACCATAAAAATCCTGTTATATGGCAGTCAATAAATGACTTCCACGCATATAGACACTGGAACATCCTACAGGAGTGTAAATAATGTATGTCAAGCACTGATCAGTTAGACTTTCACCCTGCTAACAATCATTATGGCAGGTAACATCAAGGTTATATGTCACATAATAAATCAGCGTTACTGCATGGGGTCACACCCTGCTGGCATAGTTCTCAACACATATTATTAGCAAGTTGTTAAAGGCTTGTTCACATGGGTGTATTTGCAGGTCCACATGTTGATGTCAATCTATACATAAACAAGGAATGCATCCATAGATGTGCAAACACACGTAACATGCAAAACCATCACAATCCAGGAACTGACATTTCAGCCCACTGTTTCTCATTGTAGTCCTCAGTGACTGTCAACCAGGAATATTTGTAGGTTTTGGCCAAGAATCAAAAAAGGTAAAATCTAGTTGTGCACCGAATAGAAAATTCTGGTGCCGAAACTGTAAATTCAGGATGCACTTGGCCACAAACCGAAATTGACAGTTTTTAGAAATGAATATATTTTTCAAACGCAATTTTTGGGGAAAAAAAATACACTGAATAGAAAAAAAAATAAAAATATATATATATAATGTTTTGTAAATTTTGAAATATAATGTTGTGCCAATACCAATTTAAAGTTACAGAGGAGGTCTAGTGCTAGAATCATTGCTCTTGCACTGATGTTCGCAGTGATACCTCACATGCGTAGTTTGAACACCGTTTACATATGTGGGCGTAGCCTACGTATGCTTTCACCTTTCTGCGTGAGCACGGGGGGCACTTTAAAAAAAAAAATTACACTGTCCTTTTAAAAAAAAAAAAAAATTTAAATCACTTTTATTCCTATCACAAGGAATTCAAACATCCCTTGTGATAGAAATAAGCAGTGACCGCTCCTCTTTATGGAGAGATATGGGGTCAATAAGAGCCCACATCTCTCCTCTACAATGTAAAGCATTAGATCAAAAAAGCATTGATCTCATGCTTAAAAATAAATAAAATAAAAGCCTTGTTTGTAAGACACCAAAACGGGAAGTGACGTAATGACGTCACGCCGGTCCTCCAAGGGCATAGAGATGAATGTAGACCATCTTTCCTTCACTGATCTCTATACCCAGCGTCTGGAACTTTGGATAGGTTCTCAGGCAAGGCTGGCGGGGAGAGGGGGGTATTTTCTGTGCTTATTTTCATATCAGCCAAAGACCCATAGGGGTATTTTAGGCTGCAGCATTTTGGCCACTGAAATTCTGGTGCATCCCTAGTAAAATCATCAGCAAGCTTCTGCTAAAAATCAACTCCATCTCAATGCTTAATTGCGTTCAGAAATCACTTTGAATAACACCCCCTAGCATTTTTAGCCATGGCTAAGGATTAAAAGTAGTCAATGTTGATTGAGAGAGTTTAGTTCTGCTATAAAGGAGAAGTTCGGGATTACAAAAAAAAAAAAAAAAAAAAAAAAAAAAAAAAAAAGATACTCGCCTAGTATTTGATGCTGCATGTGTCCCCCACAGCCTCTGCACTGAGAACTGAGCGATCAAAGACCACTAATTGCTCAGTTCTCAGCATTCTGTGAGCAGAGAGCCAGGGACAATAAGACATCAGGTCTCTGCTTTGCCCATCCAGTGCTCAATGGACTCCGGCCTGTTGAAGGGGAGTGAGCAGATGGCTCAGGCTCACAGTGGATGATTGAGAGGCTGAGCAAGCTGCCGGTCCGTGGGTTCTAGGTGGATCCTGACCATATGGTTGGGATCTTTTCAGAGCCTGGACTGGCTCTGTGACGTCATCTGACAGCAGGCTTCAGCCCTCTGTTGGCTGAAATTGTATTACAGGAGTGCAGAACTAACTGCACTCCTGTGATCAATGGAAGTACAGCCACAATAACTTTGGCTATACTGCTCCTTCAAAGTGGAACTTTAGTCAGAAAATAAAGTCTTGCTTTCAAGCTGGCCCCTTTTGCGGGTATTTGTAAAACACGACAAATAAGTTCCTATACTGTTTAAAATGCAGTAATATACTGTCTCACCCTGCTCTGCACATGCACAGTTGCTCCCTATTTTTGGCATTTTGCTAAAAATCACAGCCACTAGAGGCTGATCTGCTGACAGCCTAAAGATTTACTACTGCTAAGGGCTCTGGGCTTCAGCAAAATGGCAGCCTTTGGCAAGAAGAAACAGGAGTAATGCTGGAGGCAATTTACAGCACACACATTTTGGTAGCATAATTATTAATATGGAATGTGTGTTCCTTGCTAAAGAACATTATTTTTATCAAGAGGTTATGGACAAAGTTCCACTTTAAGATTAAAGAGAAGGTAGCACAGTGGCTAAATGGTTAGCACTTCCACTTGGCAGTACTAGGGTCGTTGGTTCGAATCCCAACCACGGCACCACCTGCCTGGATCCAAAGAACAAAGGTATACCTCAGGCAAACAATCCAGATCAATACACAACTGGTGCAGGCTCTGGCTCACTACCACACACGATGCAATAGGAAGAAGGGTCAGCCACACACAGGAGGATATATAGGAGTGTGTATTTATTGATCCTTAGGACACACAAAACAGCAGGACATGAATACAGGACCTGTTAACGCGTTTCACACGATCTTGTGCTTAATCATAACCACCTGCTTGGAGTTTGCATGTTCTCCCTGTACCTGTGTGGGTTTCCTCCGGGTACTCCAGTTTCCTCCTACTCTCCAAAGACATGCTGGTATGTTAATTGGAT